GCGCCCCGGCCCCGCGTGTCTCACCTCGACCCTCTCCTAGGCCTCATCCACAATGCCACGATAAAGACGGTGAACGTGGAGCGCTGCTCCGTGTCCGTGGAGTGGTCCGAGGGTGGCGCCGTCAAGGGCAAGGAGGTGAGTCCCCAGCCTTGGCCGGCTTCTCCCTGCTGCGGCTTCGAGCGGGACCTAAAACTTCAAAAACTCCTGTGTTGTTCATCTGTCGAAGGTGGCGCTTGGTAGCGCCTGGTGCTCTAGGCGTTGTGTGGGCACTCAGAGGAGTAATGCTTTCTCCTGTAATGTTGTAGGTTATCTGGGATGAAGGCACTTCTATGCTTACTTGACTTGGTTATGTAGATAAAGTAATAAAATAGGCACATAAAGGTAAGAGGCATGTGAGTCGTGTGCTGTGGCTGCTGCGGAGCCTTCCTGGGCCAGTGCTCTCAACCTTTCTGAGCAAGCAGGTGGGAGCAATGTCAGGCTCTGGCTCCTGCTGTTGGCTAGTAACTTTGAATGCTGCAGAGTCATAGTTTGCCCAACTCTGGGGGCTTCCTGTTGGTATTTGGTGCCCTCAACTGTGTCCTTTAGGCTTTCCTTAAGGCTTCCTAGGTGTGTGATAAACATAGGATTGATACTTTGACCTATCTTATGCATCGTTTGAAGCCACATACTAAACCACAAGTCATGGTGGACCTGAAAGAATGTCTAAAACTTACAAGACCCCTCTTAAGGTCTTTTAGCTATAGTGTAGCTTTATCTCACTTGTTTTGGAATGTAGAATTCTGAAATGCTCCCAACTTGACTTTCAGTATCCTGTCCTTTAGTTCCTCTGTGCCTTACTCTCCAGGGACTGTTCTAGTTTTCTTAAAGCTATGTTTTTTTGGGTTTTTTTGTAATGAGACCTTTGTACAGAGATATGCTTCAGAACAACAGATGGAGAGTTAACCACGATTTGAGCTAGAATCCAGGTAATAATGGCAGTGACTAAGCTGAATTGCTTCTTAGACAGTGCTAGTCAGAAGTGTCCTAGCTAAATGTAAAGAATGGGATATGGGCCTCTGGTCATGGAACTATTGTGTTGCTATGGTCTCCCTCACTTTACTTTGGGTCAGATTAAATCTTCCTTGTACTGGGACAAGCCTGTGGGTTTCAGTGAAAGTGTGATCGCTAAGGAAGTATATTAAGAGAATTAAGTTTGTTTTCAAAAGCCTATACATTAGTGTAAAAAAAAAAAATACTGTGTGAGGTTTGTGGTGGTAGGTGGGAGTCCAGGGCTCTTGAGGTTGATGCAGCGGAAGACCTGCCACTTAACCAAATCTCCTTTGGAAAGCGTGCAAACATGTTTGTCCCAGCAGTTACTCTGGGAGCATATCTTTTTTAGAGTTTAGTTAAAATCTTTTGTCAGTGGCTAGTTCTTTGAATTGCTCTTACGCTATTTGTGTGTGTGCTACATTCAAATATGCAACACTGTAAATATAATTGTTGACTACATTGTGTGTGTAATTACAATCCTAAGTCTCTGTACAGAGATTTACTGCATACAATAAGCAGCAAATACAGTAGCAAGTTCTCTTATACTTTTATGTACTGTCCACATAAACATATTTCTGAGCTAATTCACTTTCTGATTAAATATTTATAGATTTTGTATAAAACTGAATTTCATAATTATCTTTCTTGTATTAAAATGCAGTATCGCCACCTTTTTACAGAGTCTCACTTGCTTGGTTTTGCTCTTTGTATAAACTTCAGAGAAAAAATCAAATAAATTAAAGGTTAACTCAGGACTTAAGAACATCCTGGTGCAGTTTTTATGTCGCTTTGATTGTAGGTGAATTCCAGTGTAAGCTGCTGTGGTATCAGAGTTATTTTTGTGTGCATGTGCTTTCAAACTCTTTTACAGGCTTAGATTTGAAAAACCGAAACGAGAGATGCTGTCTTTTGTGCTTGAGGTTGCTCTTGGCTTTCCCGCCTGCCCATCACTCCCCCTGCCCTGCGGCTGTTTGTGACAGGGTGCTTTTCCAGAGCCGCAGAATGTTGTAAATGTGGGATTATGACTTCACCAGAGGGTCACGCAGGGGGTTGAAGCCTTAGGTGAAATCACTTGCTTGCAGTAGCAAGCAAAAATGCAGGTGGACTGACTTGATTTGTCATGGATTAAATACTGAATCCTTCATTTTCCAAGGTATAAGTAGCTCTTCGATGAAGCTTATTTCAGTAAGTGCAATTGCACAGTAAACTCTTAATGCTCTCCTAGCGCAGAAGTCAGAGCGGCTGAGATTTACTAAGATTAGCTGTAGGGGATTAAAGCAGTTGATGCCAAATGTACTTTGCCTATCTCTTCAGAAGTGCTCCATGGCTCCCGCAGAGCTGTGTGGTGTTTGGCAGATGAGGGTAAACGATATAACTAGCACATTTCTTCTAGTACGCTTGGATGTATGAGACTGTTCAAATGGAATATGGACTACTGCCTTGTTAGTCAAGGCAACTTTACGGTAACATTTAGCAAGGAGTGGGTCAGGTTTGTCTGCCTATAACCAAAGTCAATGTAAAAAGAATGCTTAAGTAGTAGTGACAATATTCCATTGTGTGAAAACCTTGCCCCTGCTGTTGTAGATTGAGATTGACGATGTGATCACAATAAATCCTGAGTTAGCAGAAGAAATACCTGCTGCAGATGTGAAAGAAAACCTTCCCCTGCAAGAGAATATAACTGTACAGGTAAGTGTTTTTAAGTATTTCAGTCTCTCCTAAGTGTCAACAGCAGCAGGCTGGAAAATAAGTGTTATAAATAATACTGTCAGTTTCAAAGTTTGAGATCTCTAACTTGTATGTTCTGTCTTGTCCAAAAAGTCCAACTACAAGTTGGACTTGTAGTTGGGCAGAAATCCTTTTTGTATTAATGTTCTCTCTTAGTGCTGTGCGAAGTGTTTATGGCTCATTTTGATTCCTTACAGCACTCTCTTCTTTCTTCCTCCAGAAACAGAAACGTAGAACAACCCTTTCAAAAATTCCTGCTCCGCGTGAAGGTGAGAAAATATTCTTTCCTCTGCTATAACCACGTGAAATAGAGGTGGTCTTCAGTTTTAGCCATAGTGTTGTAGCTTAATATGTCTTCAGGCTGCTTGGTTGGGCACCCTAATGAGTGAGCATTCTGACCATACTGGTTCATATAAACACTTCGGACTCCTGAGTGCAGACCCTTGCCAGCAGATTGCTGTCTTGTTCCTGTGAGCTAGGGTTTGTTGATGTGTTGCCCTTTGCTACAGCATTGCTGTAGTTCTTTGTTTGACACTGTTCTAAATGTCACTAGGCAGTTTCTGTTGCAATGAGTTGTAAAATTTCATGTGGAGTTTGGCTAATGCCGCAAACAACAAAAGGTAAGTGACAGTAAGATTAAAAAGAAGTGTCAAAATGAGAGTGGAAAGGGCAAAAAGAAATAGCCATGACAAATGATTGTCTCCTCTTCAAACAGTCCTTCTAGTCAATAACTAGAGCTTTATTTCTGGAGGCACTTCAGACTAGGCAGCCAAAGTGCTAGCTGGTGTGCTGTAGCTCACTGATTGTCTGACAGGAAAATAGTTTGAGCAAAGCCAGCACAGAAGGCAGAGACATCTGAAAGCGTGGGATTGCTGAGGAATTGCTTTCCTTGAGGTGTCAGGAGTTAGAAAACGCCCATCTTCTGTCTTCTGTTAGCTTTTTAGTTGACTCTCTTGGCTTTTTGAGAGTTGAAAGTAGCAGCATTACAGATCTATTTGTAATACAGTTGAGTGACGCTGACGTTTAGCGGTTGCAGATATGATTCTCTTACAGTGTATCGCTTGCCAGAACCTGTTCTTTTCCATACAATTGATCTGTAACTGCTGGTTTTGTCTGACCCTTCTTGTATGTGATGTATCTGAGAGACAGGAGTAGTTTGAGAAACTTGATCTGTCAAACATAATTCTATACTAAATCATCTTGATCTTCCTCAGATCCAGAAAATTCTCTATAAACTTTGTGAACTGGCTAGAAAAGTGGTGTGGTAAAGTAGTGACTATCTGTGGACAGGTCAGTTGATGGAACTGGACAGCCAGCTGGAGAAATAAAGGACTCCTAATCCAGTCACTGACTGGAAAAAATGTTATTACAGGTCACTGCTTTCTTGAGTGTAGTTTCAGATTTGCAAATCTGAAATGCCTGTTGCCTTCGCTACAGGCACACTTGTCCCTGAAGACCTGCGCAGAGTACACAAGGGAAGCAATGTGTTCAGTATTCCTCAAATATTATTACTAAATCCCATGAGCAACAGGGAGTATCTGTCCTGTTACAAACTCCACGCTGCACTAATTAGAAAGCTAACATTAGCTTCAGATTTCAGTTTTAGGACTAAACAAAATAAAGATTAGGGGGTGTCTGCCTCCATCTCAATATGCAATATGTCTGGCATCAAGCTCCTCAGGGAAGTGGGAGAAGCAGAAGTAAATAGTGCTTTTAGTTAACTGAGAAACCTACTGTTCAAGTTCTCTGACTCTTAAGAATGCTGGAGGATGCTGTATATCTTCTTGAACAAGAATTACTTGAAACAAAACCCATTTAGATGCAGCAAATCCTTCAGTTGGTATACATTTCCAGCAGCACTGTTTCGTTCCAGAAAAAACACTGCTGAGTTTGTGGTGAGATCAGATCTGGGCGTCTCTGACAAAAGAAAATGGAATAAAATGCCATCTATGAGCATAATGAAACTGATTCTTTTTGTTCCTAAAGTTGCAGCAGTGACACCTAATGTCTCTGCACCTGAGCAGAAGATTCCAGGTAAAGCGTTAATAAAGACATGAGCACTGAATTTCATGGGCACATTTATAAGGAATTTGATCCAGAGTTCGAATTAATTCTTGCTCGGAAACAAATCTTATTTCCTTGGAAATCATAGTGGTTAATTCTGGATAAATTCTTGTGATTGTTAGAGGTGTGAGGGTAGTTCTAATACTCAAATTGCACTTCAGATTTTTCATATCAGATTTGTTTTCTTTACTTTGAGGTGCACGTTCTGATCTCTTCCCCCAGAAGCTTTGCAAGGCACTTTGGGCAGGGACTTGGGGTCAGTGAAAAAAATGCATCTTGATATGCAACTGGAGAGATTGCCTACAAAATGAGCCTTTCTAAAGATTTACTGTTAGGGTGTTGTGGTAGGCATGATGCTGTCCATGACAAGTTTTCCCTTTGGATGTGGAAGGCATCAGAAATAAGTTCTTGTCATCCTGACTTTTCCTTAGCACTTCCCTAGGTAACTTGCTCTGTTGTCTGTACAGCAAAAATTAGTGATAGAGTATACTTGCATACTTTCATTTTAAGCAGTTGCTAGATTGCAATACTATTGTCACCATCAAATAGTTAATCTATAGCCCTGAAAGTGTGAAGCTTCACAGGCTCTCCCAGTTCCCTGACTCTAACTGCCTCTTTCTAGTTACTGAGGCTCTGGAACTGCTGTAGTAGAAAATCCTTAGTGCTATCTGGAAGGAAATTGCACTGGAGCTGCAAATCTGGAATGAACTGTTTGCTTTTCTCTAGTGGTATATTTCATGATATACTCACTGACCTTTGCAGCCTTGCTTCATCCTGCACTTCCTTAATGCACCTGAGATCTGGAAACGGTCTTTTAAACCACACCTTGGTCCCCTCTGTTCTATACTTCTGTGAACACATGATTACTTGCAAACTTCTGAGTGCCTGATGCACAATGCTGACCTCAAGTTTGTGTTTCCAAAGCTCTGCGTGGCCGTTCCACCAGGATGTCTGTTATCACAGAGTCTCAGGGCAGCCTCCAGGAGAATGAGATGGAGGTGGATCCCTGCACTTCTACACAAACAAGAAACAATTCAGCAATTCCTGGTGAGTGGAGAAAGAACCCAGTGAATTGCTAATATGAAGCAAGATACTTAATATATATTTAATTAGGTAAACTGTAAGTCTAGGAGGAGGAGCAACTCTCCCCCTGCCCTTTCAGATATAAAAGGAGGGAGACTAAGAGGTATCTGACAGAATAAATATTCAAGGCTTCTTCCTGAAGGGTTCTCAAAGGACTTTGGAAAGAAGCGTTGAAGGAAGACATGCTTTACTAACCAGAGGGCTGCAGTCATGCACGTGGATGGATATGGTGTCTGTTAACAGTGTAAAGTGGCATTCACAGTGCTAGAATGGGAAGGGAAGTATGTCTTAATACTGCTGACAATATGCTCTGTAACCTTCCCCATGTAGGAGCTTGATTTGAATAGCAGTTGATACTCCTTTTTAAAAGCTGGGAGTCTTTAGTATCTGTTGTGAGAAGGGGGTTAAAATCTTACTCAAGAAGATATTACTTTGTTTATTAAGTGAGATTGAGATGGTTTTAGTTCTTGGAGTGTTAGACTGCTTATGAATTAGAGTAGATTAAAGGCTTGTTAACAGGCTTATTATCCCTTTCCCTTCCTCTGTCATATGAGGCTTTACAAATTATAAAATTATTCTTGCTCTTTAGGATCTAATTCCCCTCTTTGATCTGGCTTTTTTCTGCAGCTGGCCGAACCAGGGCTAGCAGGCTGAGCTGTGCCCCAGAACCCTCACTGACAAATGTAAATGGAAACATAGAGGATCATCTGCCTCCTGCTAGAATGAGCTCTTCAGCAAACCCAGGTAATGGGGAGCAGTGGGTAAGAACTAAAACAAAGGGTTGCTGCTTTGTACACTCCTAGGCTAATGCTTCAAAAAGGTGGCTTTAACAGTAACACTAAATATCTTGAGTATTTTAATTTTAAATATGTAATTCTATTACCAGAATATTCCCCTCAGAAATACTGCCTTTACTTCAGAGTGACAGCGTGGCTTTGCTAGCCAGCTTCTGTAGTTGGCAGATCTGCTTTAGGAAAGAAGCACTATAAAATGAATGATGTTCATCTTCCTGAAGAAGATTGTTTCCTGAACAAGTTAATCTCTCAGTAACCTGGTGAAGTTGAAAATAACTTTAAGTAACATTGTACTTAAAATGTATTAATGAAAACTTAATTTGAGGAAATGTTTTGATTTTTATCTAGTTCGGAGAAGGTCTAACATTGTGAAAGAGATGGAGAAAATGAAAAACAAGAGAGAAGAAAAGAGAGCTCAGATCAGTGAAATCAGGACAAAACGTGCACAGGTGGAGTATTCTCTACCTTACACTAGTAAGGGGAGATTCTATAGGACAGTACATCCCCGTAATTAAACTAAACATATTTTGGACATAAGCGGAAAGATGCAGAATGCCAGGCTTTGTTTTTGGAAACCTGTATTTAAGGATGGATTATTTCTAGATCCAGAAAATTCTGAATCTTGCAACTTTCAAGTAAAAGAATTTCTAATTGTGTACAGTTGGTTATGTTTAGTGTGCTCTGGTCTCTTTTGCTATAGCAGTCTAATTACCTTCTAGCAGCTTGATTCCTTTCATGTTCATGGTTTTTCATGCAGGAGTTTGACAGCAGCTGTCCGAATTGGGAATTTGCACGGATGATCAGAGAATTCAGAGCAACTTTGGACTGCCAACCAATATCTATAACTGACCCAGTAAGTAAATATTGAGGGCACTGACTGCAGCATGCACGTACTCTGACTTCTTTATTTTGTACTCAAGGTTTTGGCGTATGAACAAATTAGGGCATCACTGCCTCACAGAGCATCTGTGAAGATATTGTGATTCTGAGGCACCCAGTGGTAAATGTGAGGTCACTTAACCTCTTTCCTGTTTCAGGCTAAGCTGCCTTGTATTACTTCGCATGTGTCACTAGCCAAGAGATTGCACTTTGACAGTTATCATGGAATGTTTTGAGGTGGTAACATCAGTATTTTTCAGAGTTTTTAAATGGCAGAACCTGTTATGTAGCAGTTTAGCCTGTTGTAGGTATAGGTATGAATAAGGTAAAGCAGATTGTTGCACTGTAATGGAAAATATTACCATGTATAAGTTAAATATTAACGAACTTTAAGCTAGGTCAAAAAAGTGAGGAGCAAAAGTAGAGGTGAAAAACTAGGGAAAAAATGAGGAATGGGAGAGCTCTTCAGCTGCAGAGTTGGCATTGCTTAACACCAGGGAACGGCAGTCTTTGGCTAGCAAAAGCCTTGTTATGATCACTGAAAACTGGTAACATTTCAGATCAAACAAAAAAGCAGGTGCTGAATAGCTTTGAACACGGGGTGGTTTGCATACCTGCACTGCACTGGGCTGAGAACCAGCTGTTTGTGCAAAATTCCTGTATGGCAGGAGATGGGTTTGTTATCTTCTGCTTTCCACCTCAACCAACGGGATGTGTACTTTCCCACACTCTGTAGATGGGCTGAACAAATAGCTAAACTTACTGTATCGTTTAAACTCCAGGACAAACAACAACAACAACAAACCTTTAGAACAACTTAAAATAATGATTTTCCTGAATTTGACCCTAGTTGCAGTATTGATATCACTGAGAAGTTAGCAAAGGACTGAACATTTAGTAGCCCTCCTATAGATTATTTGGGGCACTCTTTTAGCATGGGAGCACTTTCACCTGATACGTTGAGTGTGCTACATATGGTTAAATTGTTTGTAATAGTTCAGACTTCTTTTGTATTGAATGGACTTTAAAACTTAAATCCCTACATGAGTGGCTAACTAATCTGTAGCAGAGGAACGCTAATAGATGTGTAGAAAGGCGGATGTGAGGAGGAAACACTGAATCTTTGTCTCTGCAATGCCAGGTAGGTGTGGATGTAACTGGGAAGTAATTATACATGTTTTCTTACCTTTTGTCTTAGATAGAAGAACATAGGATTTGTGTCTGTGTGAGGAAACGCCCTCTGAATAAACAAGGTGAGCATACTGACAGAACAGCTATGACTTGGAGCTGTTTAACATTGTTTATTCATGTTAAAATCGAGGGTCTTTTCCATCAACAGAACTTCTAAAAAAGGAATGTGATGTGATTACTGTTCCCAGCAAGTGCGTCCTGCTGGTGCACGAGCCAAAGCTGAAAGTGGATCTAACAAAATACCTTGAAACCCAAGCATTTAGATTTGACTTCTCATTTGATGAATCCTCTTCTAATGAAATGGTATACAGGTAATGCTTTCTTACTGGGAATGAGTTACAAGTTAAAGTACAGAGCTATGGCCAGATGGCATCTTTGCTTAAAGAAACTGCTACCTGAAGTACATATGAAATGTTTTCTTTGGAGGAAACCAATGGACTGAAAAATCTAAAGCTTTAGTTTTGGTGTGGCCTTGATGCCTTCTTAAGGATTTGCTTTTATTGGCCTTTCAAGGTATTGTCAAAAGTATCTTTGCGAAAACTGATGAAGTGGAGTGTGAACTACTTGCCTTAACTGTCTTGTACCTTCTGAATATCCAGGTTCACGGCTAGGCCTCTTGTCCAGACTATCTTTGAGGGTGGAAAGGCAACGTGTTTTGCATATGGCCAGACAGGCAGTGGCAAGACACACGTAAGTTATCTGCTCTAAGGTCTCAAAATTTCTCTTTTTATCTAAAGTATGTTTAAGTTTCTTGAGATGCTAATAATGAAGAAGATTGTATAAGGAGGTTGAATTGGTTTTATTGTCTTAGCATGAGTTATTACATTGTCAATAGTTTATCCTCTTTTTCTGTAGAGTATTAGTACATTTCCTTTGAAGTTGTGAGGACAGTCATACTAAATCTTCCCACAGTTGGCTTGTTAAAAATTTAGAACCAACGATGTCCTGATGTGTTAGTAACAGAGCCAGGGCTACTCCTCACCTCAAACTCCTGTGTCTGCCTAATTCCAGTCTGCAAAGCAGGGCTGTTTAGCTTACATCTGAGACAGATTAAAATGTTGTCCATGTTGTATTTTGAGTCTGGAGGAATTCCAAAGACTTGAGTGGATGTATAAGACTCATGTTGTACATGGACAATTAACTGGTCTGATATTACCTGTAAAGTGGGTAGTTACTCACTTTTTAACCACTCCTTCCAGCCTTCCACTTCTAAGACAATTGGAGACTCTGCTTTCTGTCTCAAAGGTGTCTCTTAGGCTCTGAGCAACTTGTGTATTGTTTTTAATTTTAGTCTTCTGGAAATTATAAGGAAGGAAACTGGGAAATTCTCTTCCCTCACCCTATCACATGGGAGCCAATTTTGCTCTCTTGTTCTGCAAGAAGCTTCATCTAACAGCAGAGTGATCTGGACTGGACTAGACTAGCCTGCCAGTTTCAATAACTGGATAAGTGCTCTCTTCTAGTGTTAGATGCAAGTCTTAGGCTAGGAATTCCTATCATTAGTGTTATATAGTAATCTGTAGGATTCATACATATCTGCATGAAGATTAAATCACTGAATATTTGCATCATACTACCTGGAGATTTTTTTCCAGTAATCAAATGGGGTTGTTTGTGTGTGTTTGTTTCTTTAACAGAGGCTGCCTTCATTACTGTTGAATGGGCAGGTAATAGGCAAGGAAGTCACTTTTATTTCCTGATCCTAGGGTGTAGAACTAGTGCGAGGACCATAGCTGCATTTTGAGGCTAGAGTGCTGCCTATTAAACCCTGATAGATTGAAAATGTGTCTTGCTGGGATTGAGAGTTGTCTTTTAAATAATTGACTCTCTGTTTAATATTAAAATGTTAGTGATTCTCCAGGACAGCAGTAGCCAAAATGTTGTTGAAACAGAAAGTATCTTGGTCAAAGGAATAAAAAGTATTGTCTAGTCTAGAAGTTGGATGTGTTTTGATACCATGCAAGTGTGTTTTTGCAAGGAGTAGCAAACCTAGCTCCTAACAAGTTAGGCTGTTTGGTTTCACTTCCAAGGCCATGAATTTCCCCTTGGAGGAACAACTCCTTAGAACTCTTATGTAGAGCTAGCACTGCGGAGCCTTGCAGGCATGCAGCTGCTGCTTTGCATAGTCTCTGTTGTCTTTCTGAACTGATACGGAAGCACAAAGCTAACTTCATCCTGAATTGCATTGTGTTATAATAATCCCACTGACATCAGAGCTTATACATGATGACCTCCTAGCATGTTCTCAGGACTAAAATTAGGTAACCAGACTTGCTTGTACTACACTTTACCTCAGTGATGGCCTTTCTCTTCACAGACTATGGGTGGAGACTTCTCTGGGAGAGCACAGAATGCCTCAAAGGGGATATACGCTTTTGCATGTAAGTTGACTCTTTAGATAAGTGAATCAAAACTGTGCATGTTTGTTCTTAAACAGTAAGGTCTGTGTCTTTATACTCAAAATATTCCCAGTAAGAGATACATAAAGCATTTGTGCTTTCATCAATAAGTAGTAGAGTTTGTTGCAAGAGGTATGATTATGTAATTTTTATCAGCATTTCACAAACAGTATTTTCTATCTAGCCTGTAACTTCCTAGGTCAGCCTGCTACTTAACATTAACTGATCAGAGTATATTTATTTATGAGGCATATTGATGACATATCTTCCAGTTTGACATTTGCTGGGCTGAACCATTTAATTGTGATTACTTCTGTTTTTCCTTAGCCAAGGATGGTGTTTGGAAATACCTGACTTAAATGAAGCAGAACACTACCCGTTTCTGATATAAAGCTTGTTAGACAAAAAGCAGATGAGCATATGTGGTCCTGATTTACTTATTTCCTCTAAGCAATATGCAAAAAGCTAGCACATATAAAATGCTTTCAGACAACAAATGCTCTTAGAAGCCTCTCCTTGCAATAACGCCTAGAGAAGCACAATGAGTCCGGACCTCTTCTACCTTCACTTTAGAAAGGCATATTGTGAAAACAGCCTGTACAGCAACGCTGTTGAAACAAGAACAAGTGTTTGCTAGCCTCTGACAAATGAGCTGTTACGACCTGGCCTTGACGGAAAACTTCTGCCTTTGAGCTCAATTTCAAAATGTGAAGCCTTCTAATCATGAGAGGCTGCACTGGATGAATCCAGCCAAAGGGCCAGCTAGTTTGGTATTTTGTTTCCAAACAGCAGCGAATGGAAACACTTAGGAAAGAGTATCTTCTAGGCGGTGTACAAGAAGCTCTTCAAACACACATACACGATTCTTTAAACCTGTCCAAAGCACTAGCAGATCCTGATGGTGTGCCAAAGTGGGAGATATGTGCTTGTATTGACCAAACCAGATCAGAAAGCGTTGCTGTGTGCTGGTCATGTCTTCAGTCCCTGGATGAGGATGCTGCTGAAGCTGTTCTCCAGATGGTAGCACAACTGTTACACTAGCATTTGGTTAGGGTGCCTGTCATTCAGCTACTAGACACTGCCTTATAGCTGAGGGACACTTGAAAGGAGTTGAAGTAGCAACTAAAATGTGTTTTAAACTAGTTATCTAAACCTTCCCCTTTTCTTTGCTAGCACAAGACGTCTTCCTTCTTCTAAGCCAGCCAAGGTACAGGAATCAGGATCTGGAAGTCTATGTGACGTTCTTTGAAATATACAATGGGAAGGTATGGGTGTTTTTTTTGTTTGGTTGGTTTTTTTAATCTTTGTCTGATTTCTTCGATTGTGTTTAAGTAGCTGAATAAAACTTATTTGTATTTTGTTCTGGCATGTCTGGAACTGAATTGGAAAGGTATGTTAAGCACGTGCTGTTTTGGTATTAGCTTTCTATAAAGAAAGTGCAAATTCCATATTGGGAGACTTGTGTTCAGATTTGCCTTGTTCTTGTTGCCTGAATACAGGTGTTTGACCTCTTGAATAAGAAGACAAAGCTTCGAGTCCTGGAGGATGGCAAGCAGCAGGTCCAGGTTGTAGGCCTCCAAGAGAGACAAGTTGGCTGTGCTGAGGATGTCATCAGAATGATTGAGATGGGCAGTGCCTGCAGGTCTGGTGCCTTAAAACCAATATGGAAACAGTCATGTCATGTTACACTTGCATGTCTGTAAAACATGTAACAGATTTCTGTAGCCCAAGCCCTTTAAGACTTCAAATAAGAGAATGCCTATGATGCTAGGAATAGGCAGGCATTGTCATGCAGAGCAGCACCTCTGCATAAAAGCAAGAGGGTTACAGAATAAAGACTGGTAGCGATGGGTTTAGCCTTCTTTCAGTAGTGGCCCTATGTCCTCACATATCTCCAGAGAGAAACCATTCACATGAGTTTGCTTGCAGAGGTGCCACGGCTGATCTGAGCATAGTCTATGTATCTGCTCTTTAGATGTATCAGCTGGTTGACAGAGGCACAGGTAGTTGCTTGTAAGAACAAGGAAGAGCATCTGTCTTCAAGCTACACTTGCAAAAATGCTTTGGCTTAATTGCAGGTCAGATGAGCTCTTCTGATAGCAGGAAAAATGCTGCAGGTCATGCAGGAATCCTCTCTGAAGAATCCTTGAGAGAAGGTGGTGAGGGACAGCCACAGGCTTGACTCATCACCCTGGCAGGCTGGCTGCAGGCTGTAGTTGGGGCACCTCTTGCCATCATACGGGTGTGTGTCTAATTAGGGACTTCTGAACAGCAAGTCTGTATTAGCAGCTCTTAACTCTGGTTATGCTGTGAGTAACTGCGGTGGAAAAGGTTACTTGGCACATGAGAACTCCTTGGCTAATGAGAACTCCTTGGCTTCTGCATTACATTGCATGTGCAGATAAGTGCATCATAAAAGCTCATTCAACACTCTGCTGTGCATGCTTTTTGCATGACAATTCAGTCAAGAACTGTGTTTTTGTTTTGTTGTTTAACCTTTCAGACTCTGGCTTCCCACAGCACTATTTTAGGACATCCTCCCTCTCCCCCAGCAGTGGGGATGCAGGTGGGGCAGTGAACCTGCCAGCTTTCTCAGGAAGTAAATGATAGTGAAGGTAACAGGGAGGTTTTTGGTAACTTATAAGCCTCCAGGCTGTCACAGTAACTGGGCAGCTGTGGTAATGCAGCAGAGGTTAAGTGCCAAGCTAGCCTGCCTGGAGAAGGGAATTTACCATGATGTTAAACACTCTAGCACAGCTACTGCTGTTAAGAGGGGAGCTTGGCTTGCTCACTGTGTAATGGCAGATGCATCAGGAGAATGACATGTGGGCTGCTCTGAGGCAGGGAGATGCAATGCTGGCCTACGTCTCCCAGGGAGCATGCGTGCTGTACCAGCTCCAAACACATGTAAGGCATTAGCAGTTACACACACATTCCAGTGCAGGCTGGCTGAATGGAGACAGGCAGCTTAAATAGCCTTCAGCCTCCAAAACTGGGATGTAGGTTCAAATATTCCTCGCAACAGTTCTGTGGCCTTATATCAGAGGTGATTCTATAATTCATGCAAGCTTAAGGTATTGATATGTAGGATAAAACTGGGAAGGTTAACTATTTAAATGAATGACTTCAGGCCTTGTCTAGTGCTGTCGGGACCTGTTGTGTGTTCTGTGACACAATTCTAATGCTTGTTCACATCTTTGCTGTAGGACATCTGGGCAGACTTTTGCAAATGCTAGCTCTTCCCGGTCCCATGCTTGCTTTCAAATCATACTACGCCGAAGAGGAAAACTGCTTGGCAAATTTTCCTTGGTGGATCTGGCAGGAAATGAGAGGGGTGCAGATACATCTAGTGCTGATCGGCAGACAAGGATGGAAGGGGCTGAAATCAACAAGAGCTTGTTGGCTTTGAAGGTGAGCATTTACACAAGGAGAAAATGGTGCTAATCAACACACCGATTCTTTTTTATCTCCTTGGTTATCTGTTCTGTTTCTTTCCAGCACACAGAAAAAGAACAGCCAGAAGGATCCCGATTTTGTATTTAAACAACCTTCAAAATGGAGCATATGCTTCCATTTAGAATGACTCCAGAAAAGCAGTGTAGTCTTGTCAGGCCAGGCACTGCTACTGCCATTGCAAGCTTTGTTCAAGTTGTCTTTGTTTTTTTGTGTTCTAGATAAACCAGGTGTGACTGTGACAGTCAAATACCTGGAGCATATTTAAAAGGCTGTGAGGTGCTTACAGAACAATGGAGATGACCATTCTTCAGCCTGTTGGATTTACCAGTAGTCGTTTGCTAATAGCTTGCAAAGTTGTTTGAGAAGAGATGCAGATATTGCATTCACAAGAGTTGTCTTTCCTTAGGAATGTATTCGAGCTCTAGGGCAGAACAAATCTCATACTCCTTTCCGGGAGAGCAAGCTGACCCAGGTGTTAAGAGACTCTTTCATAGGAACAAATTCAAGGACCTGTATGGTGAGTACATGCATGACACAGTCAAACCCACACCTGTTGAATTCCCCAAAGCAACTAGGTAGCTGCATGCCCCTCTTCTAGAGTGAGGGGACTTTGAAGCCACAAAGCTTCAGTTCTCTGTGAAAACCAGCCAAACCAGTTTCTTCTTTCACTGACCATATCAACTGTGATCAAAAAACAGTGAGCTTTGCCCAAGCTTCTGATGACTCACAGTAGGAGTAGGGCTGCAGAAGTTGCTTTTATAGGATGGATCTACACTAGAACTTGGTGCCCTCTAAGGGCTTTGCTTCCTGTGCAGGTGTAGCACAGTAGGTCAACCAAGCCAGCAGAAAGCTGCATACAGAGCCACTGGCTCCTTTTATTCTGCTTCCCAGCTTCTCACAGCTATTGGCACATCCCACAAGAGCCATAGAGGAAAATGGGCTTCACAGACTGTTTTGATTCTGATCCTTCCTCTAATATGGCCACTTAAATGTGAACAAAAGGCAGATGTGGGACTTACTGAGGCCTTCTCTTCTGTTTGCAGATAGCAATGATTTCTCCAGGCATGAGTTCGTGTGAGTACACCTTAAACACACTGAGATACGCTGACAGGTAATGGTCTTTCTGACCTGGGGTTTCTATTTCTGTTGCAGAAGAGGTTTTGGCTGCTTTTTATTCTGATTAAAAGTTCTCTTGCTGTCACTGCCCTTGATGGCAGTTTGGAGATTGAGGGCAAATTATGTTAGAGCTGGCTTCTGCGGTTAACCTGGGTCCTCTCTGCCTGGAGCGTAATAGATTGCATTAAAACCATGACTAATTTCTCCTTCCTTCAGAGGAGCAGTGTCTCACTCTAGACTTCAGATTTTCCTATTTTTTGTAGCGAGTTTTCCCTGCCAGAAAAGCGTCCTGAATGCGTCTTTCCATACCCTTTACTTTTTGTTAGTGATCTGTGCAGGGTCCTATCTGTACATGTGTACTAAGAATGCATCCCTCACCTGGCCCTACAGATGAGACAGAAGAATACATTGTGTTCTTGATGCTCTTTGAAATGAGTTAATAGAGTAGGGCACCTTGGAGAGTTTGGGTGAAAGCTGAAGGACCTGGAGAGCTCAGATGCCTCAAGAAGCAAGTGATGAGTGTGGGGTTTGAGCACGCTCTTGTTGGTGTTGGGCATTTGTGGGGCAGATTTGTGGGGACTGAGCCCCAGGTTTCCCTGTGAGTCTCGCTCATCCCTTGAACCCCTGTGACAAAACTGTGAGTGGCTCCCTGTCTCTGCTGTAGGTGACTTTACAACTCTCCAGTGAGGTGGCAAGTGAAAAGCAGAGGCAGACTACATAGTTGCAGGGAGGGTAGTCTGTATTTTTGAGTCCCAAGAGCTAAAGCATTGGCTTAGCTTTTTCTTTTTCCAGTGGGGTTGGCAGTGCTTGAATTTTTTTTTTTTCTTGCTTGTGCTGTGCTGTGTGACTCTGTGCTGTAGCTGCAGAGCCTGTGACTACTGTCACATGTTAAGAAGATACTTGCACACATCAGACCTGGGAATTTTCCTTCGTTTTGTTCACAAAAGGCTGTTTGGTTCCCTCCCCCGCTTTCCAGAAAGGGAGCACTCTACTCCACTCTCAAAAAGGATGTATGGCAATTTTTGTCATAAGCATTCAGGCATACTGTGAATCTTGACAGATTCCCAGATTTGATTCCTGATTCAAAGTTGCATTTTTCTGGTCATGTCTGCTCACCTGAAAATATAGGACAAAATGCAACACCTGACTTAGGGTATTATGCTTCCTACTAAGATTCTAGCCTTGAGTTTGGCACCTTTGCCTTTTAGCCAGTGCACAAGGCAGGTTCAACCTGTAGGAAAGGGGTGTGCAGGCAGAAACTTGCTGGAAATGTGAAGCTAGCACTAGTATAGAATGAAGTGCCCAGCTGGTGTCTGGCTTCTACATCTAGCACCACATACTCAGCTACGATTTCTGTTATTATAGTCCTGTTCTGGCACAGAGGGTCTCTTATAGGAAAAAATCGACCTTATTCCTTTTCTTTCCATACTGAAAGTCCTTTTGGTCATGAAAGACCAAGTTCATATGTGGAAGATAGCCTCTGTGGAAGGCTTTACTGGCAATTAGCATTGTGCACTTGGACATTTCTTGACTGTAGAGGTCTTAGGTTGATATGGCTAGATTGGGCACAGAGACAAACATCTCCCAGCCTCCTGTTCCACAGCCCTTTGGGGTTTCTACCCATGTTCTGGGGCAGAACCGCCCCACTTGTTCTGGGGGTGGTAATGTGGAACTTGTCTGATTAAGCTAAATGCTTCCTGGTAAGCACTGACCAACTGCAATAGCTGCTTGGTGATGCTGTAGCCCACAAACTGTTGAAGGAGTTGGAGTGACAAATCTTCCCGTTGCAGAGTGAAAGAGCTCAGCCCTCACAATGGAGGTGGTGAAACACAGAATCACATGGAGACTGAGAATGAGGAAACAGAGACCAGTGGAGAAGGCTCAAGTCTTCAACACAATGTATGTGTATGCAGTGGGAGTGAACAGATCTCAAAGCTGGCAACAACTTGCTGTTCTTACATGGACTCTTTCTTGCAGCTCTCCAAGGATGAGGAGGAAGATCTCTCTCCCCACATGTTTAGTTTCCGTGAGGCTATGATTCAAATTGGTGAGCAGGAGGAGAAGGTTGTAGAACAGCTTAGAGAACTGAGACAGGTACGTGGAAGAGGTGAGCTCAGCCTAAGATGCTTTCTACATGTTGATAGCAGCTTGCCTTGTCTGAGTCAAGTGTTAATGGGTAGGCCATGGGCTGTAATGCAAGAATGCTGTCAATGGTATTTTCCTTCAGTGCCAACTTACTCCTGTGCTTTCCTGCTCAACTGGGTAAACAGGGCCATTTCAGCGCTTGTGGCCAACCAGTGCCCCTTCCCCTCTCACTAGTGACCTCTACTTACTACTAATAAGCACTGAGAGCTACTGGTCTGTAGAAGCTCAGCTCTGTTAATTCATGTTGAATCAAAGTTGAAGAAATTCCTTGAATTTCCAGAGTTATTTCTCATAATGGTCCCTCTTCTAAAATATAGAAAATGACTGAACTTGACTACCTCTTGGGAATGACGGAGCAACCAGACTACGATCTTGAGACCTTTGTCAGCAGAGCTAAGTACTTCGTAGAGGAGAGCTCAAGAAATATCCTTAGTGTTGGAGGTATGGTAGCACTTCTTGAAATAGTGCCTGCTCCAGAAGGTACATATCACTACTAGCACTGTCACTAATGATTTCAAAGATCTGAAAATACTACCAACATATCTATGGGAGTTTAAGCACCCAGTCCTTCTGAATAACTTACAGGTCTCATCATATTACTCGGTGATCGTAGGGAGAGACCTGAGATGCCCTATTGCCTGCACTTTGCCAAGTAAAATTCTGGCTGGATCGTTCCACTTGCTTTTCACTGCCATAGAAAACTGCCCTCCCTTTGAGCAGAAACAATATCCACTAAAAGCAGATGAACTGAAGTATTTGTATAGTTGGTTATGTAGTTGACCTTGGCCAAAAAAACAGTGACTTTTGAGAAATAGGTCTCTGTGCCATGTCCTAGGGATTTACTGGGGTATGTCCATTATTTCCACTCATGTTTTTGTGGATATCAGACTTTAAGACCCACCCACTTATAACTGTCCATCAGGTATATCCTCACCTGCCACGTCTGCCAGCACCTTTTTGGCATGTGTTTGCCTTAATATAGGGCATCACTTGAATGTGTAGCAAAATCCTTCCAACTGTGTTATTCTAACTTGGTTTGGAGACTTCCCAGGTCTGTGCCAGGGGATGTCAGCTGCCTGCTCTCTATACTGCCTACCTCCTTTCAGAACATGCTGGTTGAAGCAGTGGTAGAGAGGCAGCAAGGCAGATGTCTGAGCTTGGCTGATGCATGGTAACATGGCTCCAGGTGCACGTGTTGCCTGACTAGGGCAAGGGGAGCTACACTGATAACTACTGTTTTTCTGCCACTGTTGCAATAATCTGGGCTTTGAATGCCATTTGAGCCATTACAGCCTAGATTGCATTTGCCTGAAAGACAGGGCTGTGAGGGTTTCCACATGAAACTGAAAATCATGGCCCCGAAGTGAACTGTTGTCAGGAGGCAGTGATTTTTCTAAATGGCCCTAACTGTCCTCCCATCTTGGATGTAGCTTAAGAGCAGTATCCCTCCCTTCACCACCCAGTGGAGGTGGGTGGCATGACAACAGGAGTCTGGTGTAAATGCCCTGCCACCCTCTCTGTGATACAGGCTAGGGAGATCTGGTCCTCTGGGGCTCTTGATGGATGATGGATTAGTGGCATTCAGCTCGAATTTTGCCAGCCTCAGGCTTGAAACTCTTGATGAGTAGAAACAAGAGCAAGTATATCTGGAGGGCTTTGTGGGACTAGGCATGATATGATGTCAGTTGAGCTGTTCTTGCCCTATGTACTTCCCTCTGTGGCCCTTGCAGACCCCTGCTGAACTGCTGGGATAGACAGCTGGGCTGGTGAATTCAGCTACCAGGTCAGTCCTCCTGACACTGCTGTTCTCCTTTCCAGAAACGTTGGGTGCCCTGGGGGTTGCCATGCAACTGGAAGAGCAAGCCAGCAAGCAGATGAGCAAGCAGAGGCCTCAGTAAATATAGCAAAATGTGGTTCACAAGCAGTCTTCTGTATGTCTTGCATATGTCACTGGTTTGTGTAACTCATATTTTAAATGTGGTAGTGTGTGTGTAGGTCAGGCGTGCCTGAAGGCAGCAAAATGGCAGCCTCTCTCGCTACATGGCCTGGTATCAGGGTAGGTGGCAGAGACTCTGCTAGAAACACTCCCTGCAAGGCTTGGGGAGAGGGAACCTGAGTCTGCCAGATGTGTCTAGCATCTGGCCCTTCATAAGTGACTATGGTCTGCTCTAATAGAACTAGATACACGTGTATAGTTTTCTAGTGTACATACTATTTTTGGTTCCAGATGTGCTTGAAATGTTGCAAAACTGCAAGTCTGGCTCTTCTAGAAAGAAAATGGACTACATGTAATTATAAAAAAAAAAAAATCAGTATTTTAAGAAGTTTGCTTGATAAATAAATATTCTTGGATTTAATTAACTTCTATCCTATAAAATATTTTTCTTGGTGATTTTTGCTAAAGTCTGGCAGCCCCTAAAGACTGGTTGGTGTTGTAGAGGTGGGCTGGCCTTCTTGGAGGACGTTTTTTTTTTAAAGTCTTCACACTTGTAATGTTTACATAAAAATCATTTGAAATAAATGTTGTCTCTTAATTTTGGGATCTTGCTGAGTAGAACTTTGGGAAGAGGTGCCCCCTGAAACAGTCATAGGGAAAACGGTCTCCATGTGTTGTTGCAGTTGAGCAAAGCTCAGTGCATTATACGGGGTGGCTCAGCTCTTAGGGCAGTGGCTAAATGGGAAGGACCCTGTTAACTCCTCTGTATCTCTGGAGTTTAACCTGGATTTGAAGGTAGCCCCAGGTTCTGCCTTCCTGTGTATTTTCCACAGGCCCATATGGGAAATGGCTAACACTCTCCATAAAATAACACATATTCAGCAGTCCACCACAATCTGTATTTGAAGGCAAAGCTTATTTATAAAGAAGCATTAGCAAAGCTGGCAGTTCACTTGCAGCCTGGCCTTTCTGTGCAATGTGTGCCCAGGTATCCCTGGGCTACACACACAGGTATCCCTATACAACCTGTCCTCAGGGAAGGAACAGGCAGAGGGCTGCGGGGAACAGATGGGGGGGTAAGTGCTGCTGCTCTCTCTCCTGTTTGTTCAGTTCACTCCACTGCTTGTCTCTGAAAGAACAAAACAGCCCTATGAGTGCTTGGCCCAGCAGTGGAGGCAGGCTGCAGCTGCCAAGAGTGCAAACATCAGAGATTAAAAAGGGACCCTTCTGCCAATGCTCTCCCTTCTCCCAGACCCCAGCATGAGCCTGGGGGCTAGTCCCTGCCCTGGTCTCCTGCTCTGTGAGCTGCCTTCTACCCTGAAACTAAAGGGAGTACTTCTCAATAGATGCCAGTGGAAAGATGGAGGGGTTGGAGACTGGCCTTTCAAGTGACAGACCCCTGCTCTGCAGATACCTTCTGTGGGTTGCAGCCTTTCCATCTCTTTGGGGATGTCCACTCTATTGGAGGCCAGTATTTCAGCGTGGAATGAATCCATTTTTGTGTACCATGTCTCAGGACTATCCTGGAAGAGGCAACAAAAGAAGGTGTTAGTACCTTAATTGGATCTGGGCACCCAGCAGAAGAGACATGTGCCAAGCCAGCCAGAGAATGGATGCCTCAGCCCACATGGGATGCCACCCCACAATTTGGGTGCTTTGTGAGAAACAGTGTAGATGCTGGAGGCAGTGTGCAGTTGAACACTGCTAAGGGCCCTTGAACGCTGTTAAACAGCAGCACCCAGGCTCTGCCTGCCTCATGCATGCATCCAGATCGAAAGGGCTGCTGGGCTCTAAGTTTGGACTAAAGCAAAGCAGTTCCCTTGGTTCAGTCCTCCTCTACCTCAAAGGGCACTACCTGTACTTAGGTGTACCCAGCCTTGGGGTGAGTGAGGGTGGGTGGTGCAAGGAGCAAAATGCTGCCCCTTGTTTGCACCACCTTCCCTCTCTGGACCTGATATTGCCTGCTACTCTCTATCTCCACCCCAGGAGCTAGAGTCAGGAAGGACCTGATTTGGAGGGGCTCAAGTTGTTTGGAGGAGCCTCTTGTCTCCTTGGCCCCTAGGCCGTGCTTCTGCCACCCAAGCTCCCGCTATCACAGCAGCAGCAGGAGTCTACTTCCCCAGGAGTCCTCTTTACTCTGTCTTGGGGCTGAGGTCAATTGATCTTCCTGAACACTGGGACTTAAGATAAACGTTACCCAAAGCACAGCTTGGTTCATGCCCAGTCTCTGGGATCTGATTCAAGACTAGATTTCTTGTGAAAAGTCCAATCTCCTTGCCCCCAAAGAAGGTCCTAAGGCTATTAACAAACCCTGTAAGGAAGGCATGTTTACCATAAAGAGCTGGAACAGTGTGTCCCCTACTGCCATCCTCATGTGCTCCTCCACAAAGGGAAACGTGCGGACAAAATACTGCAACAGAACAGAGGGTTGGTGCGTATGGAGTAGGAATGTGAGTGTGCGAGTGTATGTGTGTAGAGGGCGGGAGCTGAATGTATGATGTGGCTCCAGATACCTTCAGTGGTGTCACACACCAGTGACTCCTTGAGCTATCTCCTCTAGCTCCAGTGCTGCTGATGGCACTTCATGACCGCACCAAGAGGGTGTAACGTATAGGTCTCTGCTCAAGCCTCACCTTGTCCCCACTGCCCTCCTCTGGTACCAGTTCCCACCTTCATTGGACATGAAAAGGGAGGGTATTTCAGCAAAATGACTGCAGTGAACTAGTAGCCAGGGAGTTCATCCTGCTGGGCTGTCAGTGTTTGCTGAGGTGAATGCAGCACTGACCCTCTGCATTACTGGGCAGGTTTGTGAACCCCTTTTCACTCTAAGCAGCCTGGTTCTCAGCCATCATTCAGCCCCTTTCCTTTGATTGATAGCATGTTCCTTCCCCTTCCCAGCTGTTACCTGTGACTGTTAACAGCAGGGCTGTGCTGAGGCAAGTCAATATGGCAGGTCAACCACAGCTACTTGTGAAGGGAAAGGCGCTCCTGCCTTTGTGAATTAGCCCACATCTGCTGTGCTAAGAAACACCCCATCCTATGATGTCCTCTGCCATATACCACCACACTCACCTCCAAGGAGATGCTGGCTTGTCTCTGGCTGTCCACATGATCCTGATTCCCCACAGCAACCATCAGGCTGTGCACCACTTTCAGCTGGATCAGCTCTTCTGCCACTTCTGCTGACTCCTTGGCTAAAATGCTGCAATGAGATCAGCCATCAGCCCCTACCCTACATGCAGGAAGCAGCACACAACAAACAGCTGTCATGGCAAGCAGCTGCACCAGGCTGCTGGGGGACTGAGTCTGGGCCTCTTGGTGCAGAGCTGGGGAGACCCCAATGGAAAAGGATGTGCTCCTCTTTCTACATTGTCCCCCAGTTTGCTGCACCATTGGACAGGAGACAGAAGTGGCTCAAAATAAGCAAGAAACATTTGGCAGTGCACAGACTATCAGTCATTTAGCATGTAGATTTGGTGAGAACCAACTGATAAATGATTGGCAGGAGTTCCCAGGTGTGTCTGTTAGAGGCTAGCAAGTTTCCTGTGTGACCACAAAGAATCCAGGACCAAAGGTAGAAACCCCAACCAAGATTGCTTCTGTGAGCCCATCCTCTGGAAGACACCCCGGTATGCCTCCCAACCAATTCAGGGCTTTCTGTCAGCTGCTTTTGCAGGAAAAAATGTTGTCATAGCACTGTCTTGTGGACATTGCAGGAAATTCATAGGAAATGTACAAAGTTTAGCACAAAAGGCTGAATGTAAGGATTCTCCAGTCAGATATAGGTACTGGGTTCTTCCATTGAGTGGCTGATATAAAATAACAGCGTTTCACTGCTCGCTGAGGTTCCCAGCTATGCTGAGAGCTCGTGAAGCTTCTAGGCTCAGCCACAGAGGGCCACTGTGACTGCACAAATGGCCAGAGCTCAAGGGATTCCACACTTCCTTGCAAATAAAACGTCAAGCCAATGCAGGTGTCAGTGGCAGG